GGTGGTGAGGTGGGGTGCAGTGGCTAGGACACCTAGGTAAACCTGTGAAGTGTGGTTTGTATGTATAAAACCTGGCGACGATGGTCGTGCTGGTGAGAGGGGTGGGGAGGCTCCGCGTGGACAGGAAGTGCTGACTTGCTCTTGGGTGTGCCCAGCTGGAGATAGAGCCTGGTGCCGTGTGCACACCCCAGTGCCACCTTGATGGGTGTGCATCATCATCAGGGACTGGAGCCTGGCGGGCACCTGTGTGAGGCCGCGCTTAGGGCCYGGCCCACGTGATGCCATTTCACCGTGGTGAGCGCTGCCCAGGAGGACACTGGTGCGGCAGTGAGGAGGTGGAGCCCAGGCAGGGCCTCTTGCGCTGAGCTGCAAGGTGTGGTGACTGCAGGTGCCCCTGGGTGGGCGTGGAGTGAGCTGTAAGTGGTTCCCCAAGGGCTTGGGGAGAGCCTGGCCCTCGGGCTCAGGTACAGATCTGAGTGCTGGGCACAGAGAGGGCTGGTGGCACACATGGACAGAGCCATGATCGGCCGCCAGGCTTGTTCCCTGGCCTGGCTCTTGTGACGGTGCTATGGGCCCCTGTCGGGCCGAGCTGGGTCCAGTCCCGGCCTCACCACTCCACACCTGTGGAACTCTAGTTTTCTCTCCTTCTCTGCGCCTCAGTTTTCTTTTCTGTAAAAGGGGATAGAAATAGTGCCCGCCTCCCGTGCCGTGGGGAGGGTGTGATGGTATGTGTAAGGATAGCACTTGGCGTGAGTACACGCACACTTAACTAGAGTCCCAGCCACGCCTCTTGGTGCTTCCCTGGTTGACACCATGTGGACTCAATATAAGACAGTTGTCACGATAATCCTGCAAGGGAAGAATGTTGGTCCCCATTTCAGAAAGGGCTCTGAGGATCAGAGAGGGCAGGCCTCTTGTTCTGGGCCACAGAGCAGAGCCAGGGCTCAACCCCAGAATAATTAGTGGTGAAGATCTCCTGCTTTGACTTGTCCTGTGGTGCCAGATCAGGACGTTCATGACTGCCCCTGAGTGACCTCTCCCATCTCTGTGTCTCAGCTTGCTGCCCTGTAAGTTGGGGGACAGCTTGGAAGATCTGCCCCCCACACTCCCACTGTGGCCCCTGCACCCTTCAGCAGGAAACCAGTCCCTCCTCCTCCTCTCCCCAGACCAGAGCCTGGCTTGGAGGTCACAGAAGGTGATGAGGCTGGCGCCCCCACAGTCCTGTAAAGGCCAGCAGGGTCCAGTTACTTGCTGGGGGTGGGGTAATGCCTGGGGGTCCTGAGAGATGGACTGTTTGCTCCCGCCAACAGGCAGAGGAGCATTCAGGGAATCTCTGGTCCCCAGATCTCATGCAGCCCAAGACTTAAATAACTGCTGACCAGTGCCCTGGGGAGGACACAGGGAGGGCTCCCGCTGCCTTCCCCCTCCTGCCCCGGGCATTCAGGGCATCGCAGAGCAGGACCCCAACTGGCAAAGAAAAATCGCCTTTTCCATCTCCAGGTGGGAGCAGGTGGGACCCTGGCTCTGGGCCATCCCCCCAAAGTAGCAGAGGGGCCAGCTTGGGGTTCACCTCCTGGCCCTTCTGTGAGCCTGGCCCAAGGCCCCTTCAGCCGCCACCTCTGCCAGCCCCGAGTAAGCGGGTGCTTAGTGACTCGTCATCCTATCCCTGCGTGGCTGGGCAGCTAAGCCCAGACATCTGGCCTGGGGCTCGGAGCCAGCATGGTGGCCAGCCTCCACCCACTGCTGGCCCTGACTYGGGACACTCCCACAGGACAGCTGAGCTCAGTCCTCTGCCGGCTGGCCTCCAGCAGGCCTGGCAGTGGCTGCAGAAGCCCTGCAAGCCCACCCGTGCAGAGGGTCCCTGTCCTGTGACGGGTGCTCAGCGTGGAGCCGCAGCGGAGGTCCTCCACAGGAGGACACCAGGAGGACCCACGCCAGCCATTCCCCCACGGCCTGACGGCTGGCAGGGAGCCAGCTGAGATCGCACCCCACAGGGTGGCACCCACCGTGTGGCCCAGGGACTGAGCGCCCACCTCACTAGGGGCTGGTCAGGAGAGGATGCCCAGGCCCGACCCTAGCCAGCCGCCCTCCGTAGGCCTTCCTGTTGGAACCCTGTCCACTCGGGAAGACCTCTGGGGTCACCTGGGTTTCTGTGTGCCAGTCCCAGCTGCCTTCTGCATCTTGGGCAAACCCCCTCCCTGCAGCCCTGGGATGGGTGGGGCTGGATGGAATCAGGCCTTGTGCGCGGGAGGCCGGCTCTCCACCAGCTGAGCTGTGCCCCAGCCCTGTCTCGTGGTTGTTGATTTTGCCTTTTGTATGTGAAGAGTCTGGTGTGTGGGGACAGCTCCRAGCTGCCCATGAAGCCCAGTTTCCCGAATGGTTTGGAGGGTGGGGTGGGGAGGGGCAGGGAGGGCCCAGGAAGGAGGGAGGGAAGCTCTCACAGTGATTTTGGTATCAGAGGCCCAGATTTGCATCTCGTATGTCACCCACGAGTTTATAGCTAGTCCTGCTTAGGATCTTTGGGGCCACCCGTCACACACACGTCAGGGACGCTGTGGGTCAGAGTGGGTCTGAATCCGGCTGGGGCCCCTTTCTTCCTGGCTCTTGCCAGGGGACCACAGCAGTGACCCAGCTCTGCCCCTGTGACCAGGGATAGGAGTGGCCCTCTGGCACCCCGAGACTCGTGTGTGTGACCTGACGGAGAGCACGGGGGCGGCCTGCCGTGCTCCTGGTGGAGCCCAGAGGTCTGCTGAGGGAGGGGACCCACAGAGCCCAGCAGCAGGGTGGGCTGCCGCGCTGCCGCCGTCCTCAGGCTTGCCCTTGGTCTTATTCTGGACAGCCTTGCTAAGATGCAGTGGACACGCCATGAATTGTGCCACTCTAAATGTGCCAGGCAGTCGTCCCTAGCAGACACGGGCTGGTGCGCCGCGCCCCGGGGCGCCCGTGCATTTCCAGAGGGTGTGGGTCGTGGAGCTGTGGCCTCCCCCCCGGTGCCATGGCATTGCCAGACCCTTCTCCACCCTGTGAGCAGCAGTGTCCTCGCCTGCACATGCTGCCCCTGAGGCGGCCACTCCAGTGGGCCTGGAGGTGGTGCAGCCTCGCTCCTTGGCTGTCACCACAGTGCCCCAGCCTGTCCTCCCAGGGCAGGTGACACCTCACACCCACSGCCAGGCTCAGTCCCTCACTCTCACACACTCCACTGTCCGCAGGGAGCGTGGTCRCACCCACACTCAGCCCAGGCCCATGTGGGCCACCCTGTGCTCCTTGATGGACCAGGGCAGTTGACAGCAGAGAGCCCAGGGGTCACCTGAGCTCCRGCAGGTGCCTGGCGGCTCAGGGTACCGTGGGCCCACCCATGAGGAAGGGTGTGTCCAAGGGATCCTTTGGCTTGGTCAGGGGACAAGTCAGTGACAGGCCATCCCTGCTGCTGAGGTGGTGTTGAGCATTCCCGTTAGCACTGGGCATGACTTAGTCAGTGTGGCCCCTGGCTGGGCCCTCTGGGCGTCTGTCCTCCCCTGCCGCAGGCCCATGCTGTCATTATCACCCTCCAGTTAATCCTCAGCTGCCACCTCCAATTAGCACAGGCAGGCACAGGCCCACTCTGCCCCTGCCCCTCTACTCCTGTCACCCGGCCACTTCCCACTTTAGGGGACACATTCTTGGCCTGAGTGCTTGGGCTATTTCAGACCCACATGAGGTGGCAGGAGGTCTCCACGCGACCCTCCACATGGTGAAGCTCCCAGTCGTCAGGCCAGGGGCTTCTGTCCCCACTTCTCTGGCTTGATCTTGGATTCCAAAGGTCTTGGGAMCATTTCACGTGGGCATGCATGCTCTGCCACCCCCACCAGGCAACACCTCGGGGCCACAGCAGGGACACTGGGGGTGTGTGGGGCCCGGGAGCTGGTGACATGCGATCCAGCCTGAGTTGTAGCCTTGCCTTCCTCCGGGCCCACGGCCAAGCAGGGCACGGAGAGGAAGAGAGAGTGTTTGCAAACAAGGCAGCTGCCGGGAAGGGGAGGGGGGGCGGACGCCAGGAGAGAGGGGCCAGGTGGCAGCCGGCCGTGGCGCCTGCCTGACCTTTCCTACCCAGCTATGCACACGAGCACACTCGTACACGCACACACACACGGTCCAAGGTCTCAGACAGATCCGATGTCCACACACGCAGAGCTGCAAACCCGTGCTCTCCTTCTCCTCGACACTCATAGCCCATGCTCAGACACAGAGCATGCACCAAGCTCTCGCCCACGTGTGCAAGGCGTACTCACACTTCCACTCTCACACTGTGTGTGCACACCTTCAGGAGAGAATCTCTGAGGAYCGTGTTCTTCATTTCAACACTCTGACACAAACTTTGATTTGTAAAGGGAAAGGATTCTTACAAATAAGCAGCTCATGGGAAAAGGCATAGTCAAACTTTGTGGGTGGGAGTGAAAATGGGTACAGTCCTCCAGAAAGCACTCCGGGCTCCTCAGAACGCGAGGACTGGAAAYGCCTTAGGACCCAGCTACCCCGCGCCTTGGTGTTTTTCCAAAGGATCCAAAACCAGCACACGGCAGGGCACAGTCCCATCAGTGTTTCACAGTGTGATCCGCAGGAGGCACGGTGCAGAGCCAGCCCGGGTGCCCGTCAGCAGATGATGGATCCGAGAATGTGGTCCAGGCCCACAGAGGAGTTTCCTCAGTCATAAAGATGGAGATGGATGAGGTCACGGCACTGCTGGGAGGTGGACAGAACTGGAGGACATCTGCTAAGTGAAATGGGCCAGACTCCGAAAGGCCGTCGACTGTTTTCCCTTCCGTGTGGACGCTAGAGCCAAGCTAGGGAGAGGGGTGTCCGTGAAGACACAGGGGAGACCAGTGGAGTGGGGAAGAGGGCTGAGGGCAGGCGGGAGGGGTGGGAGAGCAGGGAGCTGCGGAATGAGGCGGGCCAAGTGTGCTGTGTGCGTGTGCAAACGCAGCACGTGATGTCTACCTTTCAGTGTGCCTGTCCGGGACCACCCAAGAAACCAGCAGCTCACCCTGTGCTCCGTGCTCTACCGTCCACCACAGGGCCAGCTGGGCTGGGGCCTCRTCCCCAGGCACTCCACCTCTCCCTCTCCACAGCAGCTGCTGGTGTGTGTGTGTGTGTGTGTGCGCGCACGCACACGCACACACACACGCACACACACACTTACTCTCCCACAGTGTCAGGGGACCTGACACCAGGTGGACTCTATTTGCAGAGAGCAGCTGGGGCAAGAGAGGCAGAACACGAGGGTGACTCCCCAGCAACGTGAGAAAAGGGCAGAGGGACGGGGTGGAAGGGAAGCCCTGCAGGAGAGGGCAGGCCAGGGGCAGTGTGAGGCACCTGGAAGGGAGGCAGGGCCCAGCCAGGCCTGGCTCTGGGCRCGTGGTCCTTCCCTTTGGGATCTCATGCAGTAGCCATGGTAAGTAAAACATCTGGATTAAAGAGGACACGGGTCACAGGAAAAGTAAAGGAACACAAAGTGGGGGGGAGGGGGCTGCAGGGGAGGGCGGCGGCCGTGTGCTGGGGCGAGGGAAGGCCTAGAGAGGAGGCGCACCTCCCAGAGCATCCAGGGAAGGTGCAGAGGAGGAAGGACACGTGGGGACAGGGAGGGGCGGGGACTGCACMGAGCAGCAAGGGGGCACAGGAGAGGGACAAAATGGGCAGACACCAAAGCCGCTTGGCACAGCTAAGCACCCCTGGAAGTGGGCGCTGCCCTCCCAGCCCTGCTCACTGCCCGTCCTCTGCCCCCTTTCCCAGCTCCTCAGCCTCCCTCTCCAGCTGTTTCCACGGTCGCCCCAGGTAGCCCTTGATGGAGCCCACCGGGCTCCTCCTTCGGGGGTGAGGGTCCAGCAGCCCCCACAGGAGTTCATCTGCCRCAGGCGCCAGGCCGAACCAGGGCTGCGGTCGGTCCTGGGGCTGGCCTGAGGCCTGCCAGATGAGAAAGTCCTCGTAGAAGGGGTCGGCCTCCACCAGGGGCTGGTCCCAGGGGAAGTAGCCAGTGAGCAGGCAGAAGACCAGGACCCCCAGAGCCCAAGCATCCAGGGCAGGCTGGATGGGCAGGCCCTCGGGGAGAGGCGGCGGGGCACAGAGCTCGGGGGCTGTGTAGGGGATGGGTGGCCCGGCTAGGCGGAGCAGGGTCCCGCGGGGCCGTGTGTGGCCAAAGTCGGCCAGCTTGACGCGACGGCAGGCTGGGTCGCACACCAGCACGTTCTCTGGCTTGAGGTCCCGGTACACCAGGCCGAGGGAGTGGATGTGCTCCAGGGCYGAGGCCAGCTGGGCCGCACAGCGCTGGGCCGCGGGCTGAGGGAGGCCCACCTGCAGGGAAAGATGATGGGTCCACTGCCCTCTGGAGCCGCTGAGGGGATGGAGACCTGAGGCTACTCTGCAGCACGGAGCAGGCCCAGGCAGCACTAAGGAGCCAGCAAGGGCTGCAGGTGGGATGGCCAGGTGGGCCCTGTGAGCATGAGGCCTGGTGTGACCTGGTGTGAGCTGGAGAGGCCTGGTGAGGCCTGGTGTGAGCTGGAGAGGCCTGGTGAGGCCTGGTGTGAGCTGCAGAGGCCTGGTGAGGCCTAGTGTGAGCTAGAGTGGCCTGGTATGAACTGGTGAGGCCTGGTGTGAGCTGGAGAGGTCTAGTGAGGCCTGGTGTGAGCTGGAGAGGCCTAGTGAGGCCTGGTGTGAGCTGGAGAGGCCTGGTATGAACTGGTTAGGCCTGGTGTGAGCTGGAGAGGTCTAGTGTGAGCTGATGAGGCCTAGAGTGAGCAGATGAGGCCTAGTGTGAGCTGGAGAGGCCTGGTGAGGCCTGGTGGGAGCTGGAGAGGCCTGGTATGAACTGATGAGGCCTGGTGTGAGCTGGAGAGGTCTAGTGTGAGCTGATGAGGACTAGTGTGAGCTGGTGAGGCCTGGTGAGGCCTGG